TGTTCTTTACTTGTTGTTATGGGTATCTTCCTGCATGTTGTCAATTTTAAAATACATATATTATGGTAATCACACTGAATGAACTGACAAACATTCTGTACATCATAACAGAAGCATAATATATATTTATATTTTTACCATGGATCAGTATTCTCAAACAATATGGTATTTAAAATAATTGTGTACTTTGATTACTACTACTACTATGTACCTACTACGAAATACACGATTACATAAAAAATACGCCTTTTTAAATTATGTGCATTAAACAACCATATGGTTAAAGTCTCTAAATTGTAGTAAGCTTAAATACATTAAAAATCTATAAGTCCAGATGGAGTACTTCTTCTGTTCCTACAGATATGTCTCTCTTCCCTCATGTTCAAATCAAGTTAATGAAGGAAGTACATTTTTACAGAGTAATAATAATAATAATAATAATTTGGAGATGTCATAAAAATATATGATGCATTATTGTAACAGGAGAAAAAAAACCCAACAAGACCTGCATGTTTCTGCATTATGAGATACAAATGCCTGTTTTTTATGATACTGAAAAATACATGTGTTTATTTCCTGGCCACAATTGTGTTCAGGTTCTGAAAGAGAGAATTAACTACCCATTGGGCCTGCTGGTAGTTCTGCTACTCCTACAGTAGGATTCTGGAATATGAAATTGATAAACTCATGTCCAGTACATCCTGAAGTAGGCATTTTAACTTTGAGACCAATTTTGTGTTGGATATGAATGCCATATTTTATCTGCAGTTAACATAACTTGAGATGCTTTGATGAAGCTGTGTATTCAGAATTTTCAGTACAGAGGTTAATAGTTTCCAGATGTGGTCATTACACATTTATTTCCTGCTTTTTAATATTGCAGAATGTGCAAGGAATATTACTGCTATTCTAATAATGGTACTGAGCAGAAGCAAATGGTGCACAGGCATCACCTTTAAATTATGCTTTTGTTCATTTCCACATTGAATATGCAGAAAAGCTATCTTACAATGAAAGCAGTAAATATGGCATCACTTTCAAACAACATTTACATTATATTTGTTTCATGATAAAGTGCGACATTGAAAGTAAGGATGGCCAACTGTAAGCTGTGACATTTTTAATAATTGGTGCACCTTGCAGCAGTTTTGTACTATTGCAAGCTAAACCAAAAGGCAAAACATAAAGTATGTATAGTGTAGTCTCCCATAACCGATTCCCTCTTAACTGGCATAGAAACTTTTTCCCATGGCCTTCCTCATTTTCAATAACTGTATTAAGAAACTATCTGGCCACACGTTTTTCTTTTATTGACACAGACAGACATTCCACTATTTAAGAAGTGGAAGGACTATGTGGTCACAAAATATGCATCAACAAAATGCTAGAAAAAACAAATTATTTTACTGATTAAATTTAACAACCTGGATTTCTTAAAGAAATAGTTGGATATCAGCTTAAAAAGCTTTAAAGCCAATTAGTAACTGCCATATCAGTACCTTTGAAAGGTCAGGGGACAATGACTTCTCATCAACCTCATGATGGTTGCAGTAAGTACCTCTGAAACATTAGTAAACTTCTACCAGACTACATGGCACAACAATCCAGTAGACAGCCATCTTCATACTCACCACCATGAGAACCCCAGATATCACAAAATATCATTGCTGCATATTTTTAATGTGACTCACCATATCTACTTTGTCTTCATGAGTGAAAACATGCTTACAACTGCTCATCTGGTTTGATATTGTGCTAGTAGGGTGGTTCCATGGATGGATGCTCCATTGTTGTTTGTGGCACTCAAAACTGCTTAAAAGTCATAAGAAACTGAAGACAGCCTCAACTGTACTATTCATTGACTCAGGGGACCAAGACTGCCAACCAGCTGGCAGTTCTTTACCATTCACACCATCTAAAATATAAATAATTTGATTAATAACCCAGAAAAGATATACTTGACATTATGAAGCAATACCTCATTTTGCCCTAGTGGTAACATTTAAAATTAAGAATCACTACGGCATAACTATACAAAACAATTGCCTTATACTAACATCACAGCATTTTAAAGTGTGTATGTATGTATCTTTAAAGTGATTTTCATAAGAACAAGCAATGATTGTTTTTCTTGCCTGTAGTTTGTTTCCAGGCTTGCAGTTATAAAAAGCAGCAAACATTTTAGAATGATTCCTCTCTCCCAGAGATAGCTTTCACTGATACCATTGATACATTATGTAGAGATTTAAGATTTTTCAGAGTGGTAAAATTGTAGATTGTGATCTAGGTTGTGACATCATGCAGTCTTGTATGTAGCTGCCAGTATTTTTAAAGAACATACCACTTCCATCTTCAGTATAACCAGCCACACTTCTACTTTGAAAATGGAGGTGATGTGTTCTTCCACAATGTTGGGAACAAACCTTGAAGTATTATTGTGGGTGGGTGATGCACTTCTCTTGTAAAGTTCTCAAATTAGGTGGTCACTAGGTTTTACCAGGGGGTCTGTCAAAGAACTCAAATTTACCTTTGCTGTATGTGGCATTACCCATTATTCTCTGAATAAAGAATGGTCAGAGACAGCCATAATCTATTATATCTTAGTTGAATAATGATTTTCTAAAGGTTTGTTACAATGGTTGATTCATTATATGAACAATATATTGGATTGCCCAGTGAATACAATACTCTGCAAATTGAAAGACAGGAGGAAAGCAGGCAAACCAGATGTCACAATTTTACATGAACTCTATTGCAGTGTAATGCAGCACACATACAGAGCTACCAATTAAAATCTCCATTATGCCCATAAATATGACCTACTATTAAACAGACTTCTTTACTGATCACATCACTCTTTATGGCATCTCAGTTTTAACCCACTGACAAAGAACAATTCACATTCAGGAAATGGGTAAATCCCTCCATTTATGGTCTGGCCTACACAACAATAATGTTAATTTTTTCTGTAATGAAAAGTCAGAACAGAATTGATTAATAATATTGGTCAACAGCCAACAGAATGTTCACTGTCATAGAGTTATCACACATCTATTGAGACAGCTCTGTTTCTGGAGACTTGTCAAAATCCACAAATTTAAACCCTAATAACATCAGCCTATTTTACTAGTCTTATGATAATATGAATTAAAACTGTGCAGTATTATCTGTTTCTTACTATTTTTCAACAGTTTCCCTCTTTTATGCTTTGGCAAATTTACCAACCTGGTCTTCCAACAAAGCTATGGAAGTAGAGAAAAATCACTGTGAAGTGTTTTGCAACTACATGCAATATCTCCATGAGCTCATCAATACAAAACAAAGGTCTTATGAGTTTTGCACTCTTATCAATGGATAAAACCAAGACCATTTCTGCAGTTGAAATATGACTAAAATGATATACAGACAGTACCCACTGGAATGCTCATTGTCAACTGATGTGTGTGTTGTCCAACACACTTAAAATCAATTCATGGGAGAGATCAATAAATTCATAAAAAGTACATCAAACAATACAATGGTCTGTGTAAGTCCCTGATCAATACATGACAGAAGCAATTATTAAATAATAGTATTACTTCTTCTCAATGTGCACCAGGTCGATAGATGCACACTGGTCTCCATCCAATTGTGCGGTGGGTGGAAGGCCACTGTCTTTCCTCTTTGTTTACTTCAGGACTGTTCTTCGGTTAGACAAGGAAGAGCTGATAAGGACTGACTAGAACTCTGAAAGAACAGCCAGACGGGCTACAGTGAAGCACGAATATGCGCTTTCAAGAAAAATATGAGAATAAATCAAAATGATAAATAATAAATAAAAAATGATTAGGTTTTCAATATCAGATCAAGGAAAACAAAAAGATCTTAAAATGATCACAAATAATAAGTACCATACCCACATTCTCAAACCTTTTTTCAAAGAAACAAACAATAGAACTGAACCCAACAAGACATACCAAATAAACAAAGATGGGCCATTTTTACCTTACAGGGAATTAAACCATGACTGTAAGTAAATTATTCAAACACACATATTTAAAAACTAGCTCTAAGGCTGTTAATACCATTCAGCATCAATTAAAACCATCCACTGACAAATATAGTAATAGTGTATCAACTGAAGTACCAAATTTGCCAACTAAAATATACTGGACAAACAGAGTGACCCTTCAAAAACCAATTAAAAGAACATATACAGGCCATAAAACAATAAAAGCAATTAAATGTCCAACATATACTGAACACCACTCATATGGTCAGCTACACAAAACTACAAGTCACAAAGATAGGAGGTTAAAAAAACACTTGAAAAATTCTACATCCATAAAATCACCAAACAAGGTCTACAACTGAATGTCACTTACCCTCTACAATGTGTTTCTACATTCAACATACACCTGTTCAGTGAAGTATAGAAATGTAATTTAATCCACATGAAGCTGTACAATTCACCTACCCAATTTTACTCAATATTACTCTCTATTTCTAGGCTGCTCCACCAGTACCTTCTACAGTTACACAGCAGTAAGAAATTTCGGTACTTGTGGGTTATCGGGGCACATCGCTTTAAAAAGAGGTTAGGTTAGGTTAGGTTAATGTGTGTGGATAAATGACATACTTGAAAGTTATTACCGAGTATACAGGTATACTGATACGCATGCACAGTTTTACGTCCAATCCAAGTCCAGATATTCGACTCTCCCGTTTTGTGTCCCGATAATCAACAAGTACCGAAATTTCTTACCACATAATCCCTTCCCCTTCTTTAACTTTTGGTTCTAATTCATTCATATTTTCAGTAAGCTTTGGATGACAACATCCCTGATCCTAAGTCTCCCATAATAATTCCCCTATGTTCATCATAGAAGCCTTCATTGCTACCTTCAGACAAGGTATTTACAAACTTGGGAATCTCACAATGAATAATATCCACTTCTATATTTGAGTTGACAGATTTCTAACACAATATCTAAGCCAAGTTCACCACACCATATTTATCATTGTTTTCATCTTCATTTTAATCACCTTGAATATTTTATAAAGTCATTTAAACTGTTACCATAGTTTAGCATTTTAAATTCTACAAGTTGTAAGTATGGATCCATACTCTTCTATTAATTATGTATTTTAGTAAACAGTGTTTGATGCTTAATATATCTTCAGCACACCTGATAATAACATGCCAACACATGTTTTTCATATGTGAAACATAATATTTTAGCTCTGTTGATGGTACTCAAACTTTTGTTGTTTTACAACCTACACAACAGGATGCATCCATTTAAGATTTTCATGAAAAAATTATTTACAAAAAGATTATCAGATACAACAATGGTTTCCTGCTTAAGGATATTAGGAAATAACTGTTCAAAAGTTAGTGGTAATAAGAGTAATACAAGCACTGAATAAGGAAAACACATACATACCAACAGGAATATGATACATTTCATTAATGAACCTGGATCAGCATTGTCTTAGTAAAACATACTTAATGAATCTTACCAGGTATTCTCGTAGGAGGATCATATAATTTTCTAACAAATCAATACACTCAAATGTACACAGGATGAAAAATGCCTTTCTCTGCATGTTGCTCTTTACCTTCATTTTACATTCTAAAGTACCATACAACATTAGGAACAATTTGTAAACTCCCATGATTTTGACAAAATTTGGGTCTGCCCTTCTTGACATCATGCTAAGGAAAAGACAAGTCATTTTTAACAAGAGACAATGAAGTGTGTACATTTACATTTTCATTTGTGAAATGCTACTTTTTATATGAGTACTAAACAGACTACAATCAAAAGCACCTATATAACCACTGGGATAATGCAAGACTGTCAGTGAAAAATACTATTTGCACGGTGATAAAACTGTTGTGAACTACCTACAAGAATCCTGTGCCTGAATTTGGTATTGACAAAGCACCTTTGTCCCCAGCATAACGGCTTTTGATGCGACATTTACATTACCTAGCACACAGCAGTTTTAAAAACACCTACTTGCAGCATCAAGTAAGATAGAAAAGTGACGCCTTTTGGACCTAGAGAATATAGAGTTCTGGCTGTAAAAGAATATCTTTTAGTTGACTTTCATTGTACAGTCGGTTGTTACAACTCCACTACCTAAAAAAATTGTGGAACTATGTTTGCTGTAAGCAAAAACAGGACCATAAAGTAATGACTCACATTCCACATGATCCTTTTTTCATTTATGAGTCACAATTTTTAATCATGGTATTCAACATAGACACAGTTGAAGATGGCTGTCTTCTGAGTTGTAGTGTCGTGAGGTCTAGTAGAAGTTTACCAACATTTCAGATGTATTTGCTGCCTCCATCAGTAAGGATCTCTGAAATGTTAGTAAATGTCTACCAAACTATATGGTGCTACAACTCAAAAGACAGCAGTCTTTGTACTCACCACCATAACAACCTCAAATCCTATATATAGACGAGGTCAACCACACTTTAATTCTGTAAAGTTGAAGATGCTCTAAGCTTTACAAGTGTCTGAAATTTGAGAAATATCCTGTGCAATTATATGCTCATGAAACATATAGTTATTTCAGTGAAATTAAATGTGAGATGCTACAGAAATCAAACGAAATTTCTTTATTCAGAGACAATGTTCTTTTGAGGAAGAGCAATGGCTATAACAATGAGGGCCACTTAAAAAAGATAAAGTGCCACAGTATAGAGACAGGGCTCCAGAAATACTACTTGCATTTACTAGTCATTCAGCAAAATTCACTCTCCCACATACATATATATATATATACTGAGGTTAAAATGTACTTCCCACTGGCATTTATTAACTTACATGTTGTGAGTGGGCAAGCATATTTCTACAGCCCTGCATCCAGGCAATCAGTTGTAACTCCATACCCATCTCACACTATGAATGAACTGCTGTAAATCAGCTTGCTCTTTGTTTCATCACTGAGATGAGATTTTATTAATTTTTTGAAACTTAATAGTCAGGCCACATTTAAAAGGAGCATAGGTCATACCAACTCAAGTTAGATCTGAACAAATGAATCAGTTTTTGTTGTTGCATCACATCCCTGAAAAATTATTCTGAGCATCATCTGTGAGATCCTTACAATGAAATATTAATTTTCATCTAATTCTGTTGAACCTATAATCACACATATTTCTTCACCTTTTTAATTATGATGCACTTCCTTATTACAAACTAGACAATTATATGAGTGAAAATCATCTGTGAATGTTTAAGATACACGTAATGTGTATAAAAGAACCTGTCTGTTATTACACAAAACACAACAAAGAAGCATAAATAAATATAGTATCAAACTGAACATATACCGTATTTCAACATACACACTTATGGTGCCATGACCCATGTTTAAGGTACAAAATGATTACATCAATCTTCTACATACTGACACACTTTAAACATAGGACATTTAAACACATAGTTCTGGTTGAAACAGTCTGCCAACTGTTTTCAGTTGGTCCTGTCCAAGTCACAGCCTCATCTACAAACCTAACTCTTAATACTATTTAATAGTTGATCACTTCATCATAATTTCTGAGATCAGTACTACTGTATTTTAAAATGACTGACTAGCTTATAAAACTTAGTATGACTTAGAAAGTACTGTTACTGTTTGGTTATAACTTGCATCTTAGAATCATAGAATTAAATTTCAGAAATATTTTACAGATTAGAATTTACTTTTACTTATTTTTAATTTAATGGGGCTATTTAATATTCAATAGCAACTATATAATTATTAGCATATATTTATTATTTGCAATATAGTACTGTGCAATTACATTATGCAACAATAAATTAAAACAATGTTCTCTGATATACTGAAAAATCCTTTCACATAATATTTTCATCACATTATCCTGCCAGTGAGAGGCTTACATTTGTAGTTGTACAGGGTTTCCAGCTATTAATTATGGGTATCATATTACAAGAAGATAAACTGCAGTTATAACTTTTAGCAAAATAACTGTACTTAAATAAAGAATTATAAGTTTTCCCCAGTTCTCATTACGAATGTTAATAACTAGACACTTGCATCCTGGTATATAGGCAACTAAAAAACAGACAGCAGAACTGTCAACACAACTATATTATATATTACAAAACATACCTGTTCTGGCTTTCAGGCATCTTAAGCTGTTTCTTTGAGTATATTGAAATTTCAGACTATATGTAATTTAATGACACAGGTATGGATCCACACTTGTGATTTGTTTAGGTAGTCAATAAAATAGTTAAAATTGTGTTTAGCCCAGTTATAATGAAAGTAAACAATATTACAGGCTATTATCTAACTTCTTGTATTCAGTTAAAACCTGGATCAACAGATTAGCCCTAGAATCAGTATGCTCAATATAAACAAACAAAATTATATGTATAATGTAACAGCTAATAGAATTAATTGATTACAACAAAATCAGCAACACCATAATCATAATAAAATAGAATTAATACCACAATAAAATAGAAGAATTTATAGTAATTTGAATTATCCATGGTGTATCTGACAAATTCCAGAAGCATGTAAGACAAAGCCTAAGATAGTCAATTTCATTATGTGAAAAAAAGAATAAGAATAAATACACAAATATGACTCAATTCAAGTTGGTAACAATATGACTATCTTATGTTAGTGAACTGGCAAGAAGCATGTGCATCTGAACAAACAAGTCAGAGCCACACTCCTCCATACAAACTATCACAACCACTAAATGCATACAATTACTCAGAAATATACCCTGTTCTATACAGATACAAACAAATGTATCCCATTTCAAGATCCAAGTCCACAAGTAGTATAAAAGGATACAGGATATATACCAGTAAGTAATTATTAATATAAATCACATACATCCATTTTATAACACTTTTGATACTAAAACATACATACGTTTTAGTATAAATGAGAGGAAAGAATATACCAATATAATAACAGTAACACTGCAGCAAGCCCCCAATGAACAAAACAGCATCACATACACAAGGATTCCATCTGCAAGACCAATTTGCCACAAGGAATTTACTAAATGCTCAGATAAAGATCTGTTCAGAATTTTATACCTCTATTTTAAATTAATACAAAGTCAGATAATAACTGTTTATCTCTTGCTCTCATTTTAACTGGGCTAACCACAACATTTCAACTATTTTATTGACAAGCTAAACAGATCACAAGTATGGATCTATAATTCAGTGTCCTTTAAATTGCATTTAGTATATAGTCTGACATTTCTGTATATTTAAAGAAATGCCTGATTATGGCTGAAAGCTATCTATATAGCATTCTGTAATATATCATATAGTTATGTTCATGGTTTTAATTTTTTTTTTTTTTGAAATGGCCAATACCTATCAGACTACAGAGTGTATCATCCCAGATGACTGTCACCTTCACATTTGTTGCCATGAGAACATCAAATCTCACCAGTAACAAAGAATGATACAGCATGCCAATTATTTTAATGGAATACTATTTTATTAATGCATTTTTATTTATGGTTCATTTAATAACACTATCCGTAGCTCAGACTGTAGCATCAGATGGAATGATTCATAAATGATGGATTGCAAAGGATATGAAAGGAAATTATAATGACCTAATTTAGGGTACTATCCCAGCAATTGCCTGGAAGGGCTAAGGAAAGTGACAGAAAAGCTCAGTCATAACATCCAACCTCTTGGCTGAGATTTGAATGTAAGATTTCCTGAACATGAGGCAGGAGAGCTACCCACTTGGCTGCATCATTCAATACAAATACTGGTATATTACTTTATATTTAATTTCACATGGGGGATCATTTACCACACAGCTACCAAAGTTGTCCTACTGCATCCTTTGTAATTTTTATTATGTGAATAAACAAAGTTCAAAGCTGGAAACCCTTGGGTAACACAACATAACCCTAGTCCTTGTGCAGATGTCTATTCTGACAGCTGCACTGTACCAAGTTGCATTCACATGAGGAGTCACACAGATGTTGCTTTGGAGTTGTGAAGAGAGAAGAGATGGCACAGAAGACTTTGCATGTTAAGGGGCAAAGTATGGCCTGATGTGCCACAGCAATAATGCGATAATATGGACCATAAAATGGATCTAGTTCCATTGGACATAACATGAGGTTCAGATTTACCTGTAAAGGCTGGAAAAGAACATAACAGATCAAATTTCAGTAACAGTCTCTAGATAACATTTATTTGCATGTCTGAATGACATTCACAGTGGATGATTTGTTATTCTAGAAATTCATCAATACCCAACCACAAAGGATTAAAACAGCAATTCCCAAAACCTCAGCTTTTGGAAGTGATTCCCAGGGATACTAGACATTAACTATTTCAACTTATCTAGCAGCAAATTTAAATATTATTTACAGTTTAATTGATATATCTAAAGCGTTTTCTGTTTTCCAATCATTTGTAACCAGCTGAAACATGAAATATTTAGCATTTCTAAAACAATGTTATTTTACATGTATCTGTGAACTGCTTTAATCTGATATTTGGTTGATGGCTTGATGGTTTTTGGTACAAGAATAAAAGAGCAGCATGTGTCTTCTGTAACCATACGGAAATCTGACAAATAGACTTCATTTAGAATGCAACAAAGCACAGTAATGTTACCATAAGCAGCAACAAGTAGAATGGCTGGAGAAATTGTTTCTTACTTTATGCAATGTCACTTTCTCAACTCAGTATGTTTTATAGTCAAATACATGGTGGTAGAGTTTTTATGAATGTCTTATCAGCAGTATCCCCATTAAATAATAAATAGCTACACCAAATTTCACTGTAGCTTACACATAAAAGAATATGTGTTTAATGAATTCTTTAGTACCCTGAGGACAAAGATGATTCTCTAAATGTTGGTGTTTTCTTCATAAAACCATCTGACATGGCTGGCAGCCCAAGAAGAATTCAATATACATACTTAGCCGCTGAGAAAGCTTCAGATCATACAAGAATACATGTTATTTTATAATCTACTATAAAAATTTCTGATTCCCCGTCGTCGTAGCCAAGAAATGACGTCATCAACAATATCACCTTATTAGTCGTCGTCACCAAACAGCGACATAAAACTATTTAAGAAATGAATAAAAGTGAAAGAAGACGTTATCAAGTATTTGACGTACCAACTCCAACAAGGTAAACTGATAATCATTCGATATATTACGATTACTATTATGAAAACTGACTTTATGATCGATTTTAAGACGAAGATTTGCAAGGGTGGGGCCGGACATAAAAAGTTGACTGAACAAGAACTGTTGGCGTTTCAAACACTTGACCAACCCCCCTTTGGGGGGTTAGTCAGTTGTTTTAACCCCAATTTGGGGGGTAGTTTAGTTTCTTACTCAAGGTTTAAAACACTTAATGAGACACTAAACTAACCCCACCGAAGGGGGGTTGGTCAATTGTTTTAAGCCACCATTCGGTGGGTTTGCGTTTTAAAAACTTGACACCCCCCCCCCCCGAGGAGCTCCGAAAGGCGCGTTCTGCTCTAGTGTTAAGAAATTTAACACAATTAGCCTTCTTACCCTTGCATAACTGTGAATGCTAGTGAAAAATAACATTGATAGGTTGGATTATATGAATGTAAGTTTAATTTTTAATTGTATTTTTAGGTCATAACTAAGGCCTTCACTGACAATATGTTGATCAGAAAATGCTATTGGTAAAGCACCAGTTAAAAGTACTTTAGGAGAACTGTTAGAATATTCAAAACAGAAGAGCACATGTGCACTTGAAACCATCCCCTAATACTACAGACATGGTTCTGAATAATGCATGCCACTATGTCACTGTTTGGTTGTGTACTTCAGACAATGAACTAAAATGTGTTTTATTGACACAGCTGTTTTGCAAGCATCACAAAATGGCAGGAGTCTGCCACATAATAAATATCCATGGGTGAGATCGTAATGACTTATTCTTAACCATGCTAGGAGTACTTCCTGTTTGCATGTTTCACAAACATCATTTCTATGGATGGACAGTATTCTTGATGTTTCTCAATTATGGCAGTACTGCCAATGTTTTGAAGATCCTACTCCTTTGCCTTGAAGAGGAGTTACTCTTCAAGACACCACTGACAATTAGAAGCCTAACAGAGTCTGCAGAGCTGTGTAAGCCTAACATGGGAATAAATACCCACTCTGCACCGTGCAGGTGCACACAGACATACATGGTTTCAGAGTTCTTGTAAATTACACTGCAGCTCCCATCAGAAGTAACATGTGGGAACAGAAAAACCATACAAGTGGGGAAGTTATTATTGGAGTGTCTATCCCATTTCAGCACCCATCCAAATGTTACCTGGCTCTATGTGATTATGATCTGCACTTCATTTCTGAGTTTTCTGTAGACACACACCCATAGCTGGAGCAATGCAACTTTCCTCTGTTAAATGTTTGCTACTGAAAATTCCTGATGTTGCACAGGGGTTGGTATTTGCTTGTGTCACGAATGGTATATGGCTGTGACAATTTACAATTGAGGGGAGAAAGTATGGCAACTTACAAAAAGATGTCACACCAATCTTGCTACTTGAGTTGGAATGTATTAATATTCTGACTTGACTGTTACAGGAACAGACCTTTAAGGAATACACAGGACAGAAGATAATAACTCCATGAATTATCAACATACAATATTGCATTCTGATATAATGGAAACCTGGTAAATGCTTTCTTAAAGCAAAAATACCACTTGAGGCCCAATATAACATGTACTACTATTTATGTAAGACTATGTCGACGACAAGCGCCTGAAAAGTATACTGAACACACATGCACTAATGCACACTTCTCTGCTCTGTACAACTGCTTGTACTTAAACTGTAAACCAAACACAGTTTTATGCAAACAAAGACATCAGAAAATGCACCATGCAAGATGTTGCAATATAAATTATGAGACAGGGTTCAGTTCCTTACATCACAGAACCTTCTCACTTCAAATAAACACACACTTTTCATTTTAAATGATTGAAAAATTATCACTCAGGTCAGAAATTTAACTGATAACTGGTGCAATGGGCAAATATTTCTTAACCGTAACTCCTGACATGTTTCCCTTAGATTATATAAATATATATTGCCAGTACACAACTATGAACTAGTGGATTTTGTATGTATAATGGAACTTACTTTTGTTTTAGGCTACCATGCAGGAGGCTCATGGCCAAACAAGGACAATACATAAAAAATGTATGTCTGTGCTGGAAAGAACTGTTTGGTTGTGTATTGGATTATGAAACTGGAAGTTGAAGGTTTTATGCCTAACTTGGGTACCAATGAATTCATTCATTTAAAATTAAAATCATACATATCTGTGGAGTTACAAATTAAGCTGGAAATTTAATTAGTGAAGCTAAAGCAAATGATGCACAGCAAATTGTGTTAGACACAGAAACCCTATTTGAATCAAGGACTACATCCTTAAAATTCAGACAATCCAATATGAATGTTTTTAATGTAAATGAACTTACAATGAACAACTGCCCAGATGTCATCTGTACTGCAAGCATCTGGATTTCATTATAGAGTACTGGCAATGAACCATTGACATTCTCACTGCTTGGTGATGAAGAACAAAACAAGTGGTAAAGAGCACATAACAAAAAATAATTTTACGAATATTGTAGATAAAAAAGAGTTATCCATTAATATATTACAGTAATGGTGATGATGGTGGTGGTACTAAGGGCTAAGAGTATTGTAGCCAAACTCTGACCAATGATTCTCATGAAAGTCAGATAACATTAATTTTCTTAGTCATGAAATGCTGTGAATGGTACTGCTCACAACTTTATGAATGTCCTATCAAATGCTAATTCACAACTGTCAACTTTTTCATATATCCTTATATACCTCTGATTTCTTCTTTCCTTTCCCACTTTTTCCTTCTTCATTCCTTCTCTCTTCATATTTTCTTTTCCAGCAGCCTACTAAAATATTTAATGCATTATTTGTAACTGAGTGGGCTGAACTATTTTCAGTTTATGACAATGTTCCCGTGATAAATTCCAGGAAGTGTAGTTCTAAATAAAACTACATCAAATGAAGAACAATGTTTATGCGAATTCTATTCCATTAATTTCTGTTCTTCCTTTCCATTTTCAGGTTAAACAGGTACAGTTTAATTCAGATTCCATTTTAGGTAAGTTATACTGTATGAACATACATAATTCAACAGATTTTAAACCGTCCTAATTACTGAAGTTCAATGGAAACAATGCTGTATCAACATTAAAAATAAAAAAAATGGCTGTTAAATAAAGAGAGAGAATGATTTTTAGAAACATACCTCCTTTATTATGAATCATTACAAGTGCATTCCTTTTCAAAATAGGCTTCCCTGAAATCAATACACTTGTCCCGGCGTTTTTGCCACTCATCATAGATATGGCTGAAACCCTTGGGTGGGTAATAAACTGGAACACCTTCACTTGTCAAAAACTGAATAACATTGTTTGCAACACTTTGTCTGGCATTATCATGATGAAGTATCCAGTGTCCAACACATTCCAGTCATTTTCTTGTGATGTGGTCCAGTGACAGTTGTTTCAGGTGGTACTGTGTGCATGTAAATCATTCATTCTGACCTTTTAAAGGAACGTGAATCACGTCAGATGTGACTTCTGAGGTGAGACAGGCAAGTTTGTTATCAAGGTCATAGCAAAGCACAACTAAACACACAGTAACCTGTAATTGCAGATGCTGACTCTCACCTGTCAGTGCTACCAACCATCATCAATGAAAGTTCCCTCCAGACTTTCGAATATTGTACAAAAAAATCATTCTGTCATTATTGAACAGCCCTCATACAATATTCACTGAACAACAAAGGAAAAATAAAAAAAAACTAATTATCTTTTTCATTAGTAACAAACTGTAGCACTCAAGCAAGAAGATAGGGCAGTGAACAATACATGTACTTACAATGGCAACAGCTTGTAGAAAAGCAAAGTGGTAAACAAGATTCATCCCATAGGCCACCAGGCACCAGCTGAAGTCTGAATACTTTTCCACATTATATGCCCCTGCAGAGTGAGATTTTTTATGTTACCATGAAAGTTTCAGACCATACATACTTGTTGAAATTGGATTGCATCATGATAAAAATCAATTTGATACAGGCGCCTACATGTAAGTGATGGTTGGTGGCCATGTTGTACACTAAAATAAATGGTTAAAAATAAAAGTGAATATGATGTGTTTCAAATGTACTATACAAGTTTGTTTCACCACCTGAAGATTACAGCTCTCATTGTCTTTACCAAATATATTGTCCCTTAGAAATGTTCTTGAGCTGTAACACTACTTGACCTCACTCTACATGCTTCTGGTCTTGGCTGTTGACCATTTCCTTTCTTCTTTAGCAATTACATTTCACCTCAACATAAAATTTCTTTAAAATGTTGACAAGTGCAGAGTTTCACTGCATCATGAGTCAGCTGAAACTCTCCTGCCAATTGCTAACCACTGCAACATTTTCTATCACACAGTTAAGAATGAGTCAGTAATATGTCAACAATGTAATCTCACAACTCCACATGCATGGAAGAGCAAATTAAAATGTCATGCTTAACAAACAATTCTCAAAGCACAGTCTGTGCTAAATGTCAGGAACAGACATAGCAAAGATGACCATAAAATTAAACACACAGCATCACTTTAACATTTTTCATTGCTTGAAAAAACTACTAATAACTTCTTGCAAAATGCCAAAATTGGTTTGATGCCCCATTCAGCCCACTGTCTGGGTGACTGCCCACCCCTAAGGCTAGTCCTGATGTTCATGTTCAAGACCAGACTGCAGGACAGAATCATAATATAAACACAGTTAATATAGCCCCACAAAAATATACAAGTTTAAATAGTTGGGAACATTGGTATGAAATCCAAATTGCATTCATAAAGAAATTAAAGCACATTAAATTAGATGAATGCCTCCTATCATGTAGTTATGAAACCAGTCTTCCTGTATGCTATCTCAAAACGTGAAAATAAAAATATATAGAGCTATAATTTTACTAGTTGTTTTGTGTGGGTATGAAACTCAGTCTATCATGTTACAGGAAAAAAAAACAGACTGACAGTGCATGACCCATATGCATACAACATTTCACAAGCTTCACCCTAACAGATCACTAGTTATTGCCATCATACAGACAGCTAAATAAAGATTTTGCAAGATCTCTAGTTATTTTACATTAAAAAGTTGCATATTTTTTTTACTTGTTACCACACAAATATTTCATGACCCCATATTAGTACTGCTCTTATGTCAAATTTACATGGCCACTATCATGGTGGTAATATTGATATAGTCCTTACAAAATAAGTTCACTGACATTTCAAATAAACTTTGTACTGCATGGATGGACATGTCATGGAAAAACATGGAGGTGATATCGAGTTTTCTTACCTCCCAATTGTAGTAAATAGTAAGGCACGATCACCATCATACTGTGTTGAATCCAATATATTGATTTTTCAAATGGAAACTGAAATTGTATAAAAAAGTTCATAAGAATCAGAATTCAAAGTTCTAGGGGTATTTAAGGGAACACAGCCTATATTGTACCACTTTTCAGTTTTTATTTTGTTATAATAAAATGTTCTGAATTTTTGCCAATGTGAATGTCATGCCATACGGTTAGACATCTTGGGCAAGAAATATGTTCCTTTCACATTTTCATCCACAAATTATTTGGTTTTATGCATTTTTCAGAACCTTAGCAGGTGGTATGATTTCCATAACAAGTTTTCAAAATTGTATCATTGGCTGCTTTAGTCATACTCATAAAGTAATGAAGAAATACATTTTGGAGACAGTTATTTTCATAGGTTACCTTGATTTTATTTTAATTCTCACTACTGCTTACATACACCTGTTTCAAGAATAAAACAGTACTATGCCTAACTACTAAACTTCATTTTTATCCAGAGTGTTCGCCACACGAGCTTGATCTCCCTTTCCACACTCTCTTTTGCCATATTTACCCTAATACTGCAAATAAACAAAGAAACCTAACCTCAGTTATTGAAGTTATGTAACATGTACTGGTATCATTTATACAGCCTCTTATTAGTACAATTGGGCAACTTGATCTTTGCAGGAAATACTATACTTCTAACCTCAGGATGGAACTGAACATACCTATTGTATGCATTAAGATATACACTTCGTTAAAATACTAAAAGAAACTAGAGTCTCATGATTACCCAAGCAGTCAACAAGCTGACATACAATGAGTATGTTTTCTTTCCATAGAGCTCTTTTTATTACATTCACCTTCACTAAAACAATTACAAATCAGGCGAGTATGTTCTAGCTCAACTTACACTTGCCAGATGGAAGATTCAAATAATAGTTTTCTTAAATTACTAACGGTACGATCTGGATGCCAGTACAATATTGGCTATGTTCCCCTACAACATTTGAGTTATGTCAAGTCTAAATCAAATTACTCAATATAACCAACAGGGATAATAATAAAATTCATAACACTGAAATAGAAAGTTTCTGGAAGTATGATGCATTGTGGACCAAGATATTTTCAACATCTGTAATGTAATAATTCTGATGTGGAAATTTAAACAAAATCAGGTACTATGAAAGGACATTGTTAAACATGACCACATTCATCATTACCTGATGACACCTGTCATTTCTCAGTAACTATACATCCTATTTAACATTGCAGGAAAGGGTTTTAAATTTGGATCCATAACAGACTGTCTACACTCTTATATATCAGATGTTATCCATCCAGAAACAATATTAATTCTTCAGTATAATATAACTTAGCAGCCTTCCCTCACAGTATCAGTTACTTTGTATCCTAAATCTCTTGAGATAACGCAAAATATCTTAGCTAATGGGAAGTTGTCAAAATACATACTATGGCTCTAAGGGCTGATAACATACTTCAGCATACTCAAAATGACTCATACTACTGACAGTCAAATTTAAAAATAGTAATTTTTAAAAAAACATTCTGTGCAAAGTTTGTATGGAAAACAGATAGGCTCACCTGAAGTTCTTTTCAGGATTTCACAACCATAAGAATAGCTCAACAGAGATACTTGTAACACACTTAGTCACAGCTGTGTATAAGATATGTTGCACACTAGGTTATATCATTAGTCCCTAGCATCAAATTTGTATATTACATGATACTTCTTTGATGTAACTTTTGTTAATGCAGCCATTACAAATACTGATAGGACAGCATGACAACTGCAACTTTATGAAGAAGAAAAGCATATGTTCAACGATATTGAGCAAAATATTTTGTTTATCAAAAACATAAAAGATCACCGACAGTTCTCAAAAGAAATTAGACACATAAATGAGTCTAAATATGCAAGTAGGTATTAACAAGTCAAATTTATAAGGCACATCCATTATGTTTCCCCCTTGCTGCTTTTGACTACTATTACTACTACTACCATAAATATGGTCAGATTCTTTATACTCAAACAGTTGCATTTACCAGTCGAGTTTCTGTCCAAGGAAAGGCGCATGCCAAGACTGCACCATTCAAGAAGTTCAACTGAAGTCTATATATTATTGTAACTAGTCTGCTTGGTTGTGCAGCCAATAAATATATCTGTAATAAAAATACACACTTGGCAAATGTGTTCACAATAAATAAATATCACTGCTGCAAGAAAAACAAATTTATGTGGTTTGATGAGAGACTGTGGGTCAAAATTGTACGACTACTGAAGTTTCATATCACTGTGTCATTAAAACACATACATGTATAAGTCTATGAACTTTCCTTTAAATTATGAACACTATGAGGGGAAGAAAGAAATTTCTCATGAGATTTTTCGACCGGTGCCAACCCAGCATCGTGAGGAAATTGGGGAGCTACAATGGGTAGCATAATCCGGTCATGAAAGCTAGCAATGGCTGGGGGTTCATTGTGCTGACCACACATCACCCTTTATCTGGTTGGATGATCATTCACCTCTGCTTAGGAATGTGAACGTGAGGCCAGCAGCCAGCTAGTCGGCTTTGGCTCTCAGAGGGCTGTTATGCCACAGATATTATGAGGGGGAATATGCTAAAGCAAAGATGAATCCATGTAGGTTACTACCTACATGGATTCATCTTTATTATAAGGACATGCTGAAAAGAAATGCCTCCAATATTTTCTTAGAAACAGACCCAAGCAGCAGTGTAAACTAAATTGCACTCATTCAGTTACACTTTACTACATTTATATGAAAAATTTGACAGTTCTGCCTCCAGAGGTCTCTGAATTACAGACATTAAAATGGTGCAGTGTAAGGAGATGATGTCATTGCTGCGTAAAGAGCGTGCAGTCAGAGTCTTTGACTTTGACTTTGACTTTGACATATGACCAACTCATATTCATTTGTGAATGAAAGTTGTTTATGAGGATAACTGTGTAAACATCAGTACTATTTGATGTTGGGATGCACATATGTGTGATGTGAACTCCAGCATGCTAATGTCACATTTCTCTCACATTCTCCTCATATTATTTAAATAATAATTAATGTGTACCTATTAAAATCCTCTTTCAGTACATGATGACCATCATTACATAAATGTTTTTGGAAATTATGATAATCATAATAAATGTTACATACAGAATAGACTTTTGACACATTAAATAGTAGTATTATAGAGGACTGCACCATGTAGTCTTCTGATTGTATATCAATGTTGTAGAAGAATGAGCTATTTGAACTCAGTCTAGAAGACTATCTGGTGCAGCACCCCAGGAGACCACGATCTAAACTTGCAACACCATAGAATAAAACTATATCATCTTGGTCTTTCCTACCAACTGTCAGGAAAAGGCAAAAAGAGGATGAAAAATTTCACTTTCAAGCGCTATTTGTCAAAACAGTTACAACCCTCTATCTATTATTTTACAGAATAGTCTGTATGGATTTTAATACTACATGCACTCATTTCACATTGTTTATATATGAATTATTCAAGCTCTGTTCCTTTATGGGAGACCTAATCATGTAGAACATTTACATAAAGCAAATTATGTAATAAACAAAAAATAAGATATGTTTTCAAACAAATCTATCTGTACAAAGAAAAATCATAGCTATTAAAGGAAAATGTTTAATGCAACTGTATATGCATTTATTAGTCTAAGTGTATGAAGAAAAATTTGTTTGCTTAATAACAGTTATTACACTTGATGGTTAAGAACATTTAAAACTGGTGGCTTTAAATTTGTTGGTACATGAAATTTTTAATAAAACAGCTAGTCTCCTTCCTGTAAACAGAATATTTCTCAAGATTGCTGTTTTCTGGGTAATTGTGCCTTGTAGTCTGGTAGATTTTCACCAGACTACACAGCGCAATAACCCACAAGACAGTAATCTTCAGACTCACCGCTGTGAAAACCTCAAATCCTACACAGCATATTTCTCATTTTATCAAAACAGATGTAACACATCATTTTTAATCTGATGAAGATGTGTCAAGAAGAAAATAAAATATTTGTTCTTCCTTCTGTACTGCTACATGCTGCTGGAAGGCAAGTACATGGTAAGATGGAAAATATTGCTGATACTTGCCTGCAAAGCTGTTGTAATATGACATGGATTGAGTAAATATATCACAGTTCTTGATGCACATTTAAAACCTATTTCCATTCCCCACATCAGGGATATGATAACCAATAGCACCCTTTTGCCAGTATCAGCTTTCTGGCTACAAATGCAGATTTGTGGTATGAGAGACAGATTCCTGTAGCCCCACAGAATACATATCACAGCAAAGGCCAATGTTATGCCTGTTTCAATTAATCTTCTTGATGGAGAGAGAAAAGCAGTACATTCTGGACCACCATTGTTAGGCATTGATGCATTCACTCCGCTGTATGCCCACTCGAACATTGCACAGTGGTGGCAAAAATCAAAGTGATTTCTCTGGGGGGGGGAAAAAAAAAAAGTGCATTACATTATTCCAGTTGGAATTAACTTGTAACAAAGCTGCCATACATTATGTTTTTAAGTAAAATAACAGAAGTAACTTGCCTGAAGACCTTATCTCATAATAAATGCCTTAGTTTCTGTACTTAACTTAAAAGTTTGTTACTTAATATTTATAATTACTATATATAAAAGTAAACCACTAATACAATTTCAATATTTTGTGCAGAACTGCAAGCTAATTAATAATAAAAGATTTCAACTTTTAACAATCCTTGTATACTTGCAACAAAACTTGTTACTCAAGGGAGATGTCTACACTGGAACAACCTAGTGTCAACATAAAGTTCCATTATACAATGTCACTGGCAAGAACAGAAGCAAACAAAACATACTTATTAGAGCTTTATTTCAGTGCAAGTGTGCTGTTCTGTGATGTGTTACTTGTAAAATTTGTGAATGCTGTATGTTGATATGTCTGAACATAAAGAGTGTTTCCAATGAAACTATAAGCAATGTAATGAAGCACAAGTGTATCAGCTGCATTTCAATACATAATATATAGTTTCAAACTCACTCATTGGAGAAAGGTAATGAGTCTGAATATTCAATTTTTTTTATAATAGTCAATGAAGCTACATGAAATGCACTAGCATGAATAATATACATGTTTTTAACTTCCAAAAAGTTCACTTTCCATGACTTTTGACCTTACTGCAATGACCAATTCACTTTTATGCAAAGCCAACAAATGCCACTTATCTGTTCAGCACAAACAAAACAAGAAGAAAAGCAATCATCCTATCTGACACTACATTTCCCATGCAGCTGATAAAACATTATTACACAATGAACCAAGAAACAAAACAATATGAAAATAATTTAATGAGTAAAGTCACATACTTTCATAGCCAGTGTTGTATGAACTTTATATCATGATATATATTTATTATCACAGTCTACACACAAACGTATTTAAAATGTTGTTAAAATTTATATAACACTATAACATCTGTAGTATAAAAATAATATAACATAATATAACTTATTGTAATATTTTATACTACAGATGTTATAGTGTTATATAAATTTTAACAACAACATTTTAAATACGTTTGTGTATAGACTGTGATAATAAATATATATTTGGTTTCAACACAAACATGATGCACTTAAGCTACAAATTTATATCATGAACTCAAAGATTTCTCATTGCTTAGACATTACAAGCAGATGCACCGCCTGGATAATGGATCATTGTTATGGGCATAACAGTGTGACTTCTGCAGAGATTCTCTAGTAAGGTAATTACTGGGCCAATCAAGAGGCATTATCCTTCAAACAGATAAGTCAACCAAAACAGTAAACAAGAAAATATCAATTTCATTCAAATCCTTAACCTGCACAGCCACTGCACAAACACACTTTCTTATTTGACTGAACTCTTTGTGGATTATGTACACAGATGCCATGAGAATACTTGTAAGATTTCTTCATACAGGTACATGCACTTTCAACATGTTCACAATCAGTGCCTGTTAGTAAAGTTTTATAACAATCTTAGTCTACTTTGATTTTTGTGCATTAATTTAAAATGCTCCCATTCAATAATTGTAAAAATTAGAATTATAAATCATTGAGGTTTTGAAGCAAGATACTAAATTCTTATTTTTTAAAGAACCAGAGACCATGATGTCAACACTGGCATCTTTTCATTACAATTAGTGCAAGTACGCTTCAATTCTTTAAATCATAGTATGTACAATATTCTTATGGCCATAAAAAATGCTCACTGCATTGTAACAAGCCCTTCCATTCTAGGTACACATCCACAGCTAAAATGTTTTTATTGTACATAAACATTTGTGGTAGCTCCTTACCATGCAATGCTTTGTGAAAATAAAGAAGTGAATGTCTCATAATATAAATACAACGCTCAAACGGCAAAAGTGATGGGTGCTTGTACTCTAAGCAACTTGAACAGCAAAGTGCAGCTAACATGTGACAAGAACAAAACTGGTTGGATCGGCGACTAGCTGTCGGTAAATTTTAGAGCATGCCGATCTACAAAAAGCACTACGTATAATTTTAAATAATGTAACATTGCGCTATATCCTAAATGCATTGCACTGTTCATTACTTCGACCTAAATAGTCTAGTTACACGTCCACAACTAAAATGTTTCTATTGTATATTTATGGCAGCTCCTTACCATGCAAAGCCTTGTGCAAATAAAAAAATGAATGTCTCATAATACAAATAAAACGCTCAAACGGAAAGATTTGCAGTTGTCAGTGATCGTCGAAGTTGAACAGCAAAGTGCACCAAACGTGTTTAAATCAGCTGACTTGAGAACAAAATTGACTGGATGGGCGACCGGCTGCCGGTAAATTCAAGTGCAAGACAATCTATAAAAAAATCATTACGTATAAATTAAACAATGTAACATTGCATTATATCCTATTGCACTGCATTGTTCATCATTTAGACCTAACTAGTGACAAAGCTAAATTTGATACGTATTAATATCCCTTCTGCACACAATTCCTGCTAACCAATAATACAATTTGATTGATCCGAATTTCTGCAACATTTTATTATTATCAGAAATAAAACTAAAAATAAATAATTACGATAGTATGAACTATTTATTAAAAGTCATATATTAACGCATTTACATGGAATTATATTATTTTGATTAAAATATTATTTCCGACTTTTGCTTCTCACACACCACAGAAACAGTTACTACATCTCTGTGGATATCATTAACACAGATTACAAAACAATCAGCTAGAAACCCGTTTGTAACTGCTGCCATCTGACAGCACCAGAGCACACTAGAACAACTCACAACTGATTCACAAGAGCGTAAGAACTCCGGGATTCAATTGAAAACATTATACTAACTGCGTTCAGACAGATTGTTGCACGTGAAGAAAAATACCAGGGAAATCCAATGTTTTAGCGCCATACCGTGCAATTCTATGTGAGCCTTTTTTAGCTTAAAGTCAAGAGGTCATGTCAGCCCATGGGTATGCTGACTAGAAGCCATTGAAATTTCAAGGTCACTTTGCATTATTTTTCTGCTGAAATGTAGATATCTGATCATACTCATGTCGAGTTGAGGTAACGAATCGATTAAGGTTTTGTCAAGGTCACAACAGTATCAGTCCAAGGGTTTGCTGAATAGATACATGGTTGAACAGGATTTGCTGCACCTCAACATTAGATGGTTATTCATTAGCTTCCAGTTTCTGTAGACAAAACCTGCAGAGGAGAGGAGTGTGTATTTTTGTTAAGAAAGATCAATGTTTCAACAAAATTGATATTTCACAACACTGTAAAGAACAGGATTTAGAAATTTGTGCAATTCAGCTAGAGACAAAACCAGCCAACTTAGTTATATTAAGCCTGTACAGAGCTCCATCAGGTAATTTTCAACAATTTCTAAGGGGACTAGATGCTACTCTGAAGTATCTGTATAATCCAAAAACTGAATTTTTAATCTGTGGCGACATGAATGTAGACTATCTAAATGAAAACTGCCGGATAAAACATTTAAACTCACTACTAGCAACATATAATTTAATACATACTGTAAAATTTGCAACAAGAATTCAAAATGACTCAAGAACAGCAATTGATAACATTTTTGTGGATAGTATAAGACTTAGCTCAACTT